ACTATATATATATATATATATATATATATATATATACGTAATATACGGTAATTGTAACACTATCAGTTAAAAACGGAATGCGGAAAAGCGTGATAGAGCAGAAATAACAATAACAATATTAATAACAATAATTATTATGAAATAGGTTTCCAGCAATTAGAGCTAGCAACTTTGATAGTCGCACGAGGAGCACTTGAGTGTCGCTTCGCTGCAAAGCGGTAAGCTACTGTGGACAGGGGGTGTCTTCGTTCGTAACCTCTTATGAAGGTCTACAGTCTTCTGCTCTTTACCACAGGACGGACATTGCCACGTTCTTTTGAATGCAACTTTCTTCTCACTTCTGATTTGAGAAACGGCAGCACTTTCCACACGTTTGAGTGATTCGCGCCAATCCAACTCGGCACCCTCCTTTTGGAGGACCTTATGAATATCCTTCCGACATACCTGTGCGTCCTCTAGGGTAAGCCGTAGCAAGTCCGCAATCCCATCGAGCACGGGTACGTTCTGTACCTCATGCCATGCAGTGAGTTCGACATCCGTGTCCGTAGAACTTTCTAAATCACACCATTCATCTTGCGTGCATTCAGAGTCATCAGTATTCTCCATAAGAGTGTTGTGTGAGTGCTTGTTTTACATGGTCTTCTTTATTTAGTTGATGTATTTATCTGCTTATCTGGTGAGGGTGTTGCAAATGTATGGAAAAATAGCACTTTCGCAATTACATATCAAGCACTAACTAATATATCACTTAGTACCTTTTATTCGACGACATCTATGAAAGAGAGGAGGGTATACATTTTACCTAAATATGCGAATAATGCATACAAGCAAAATATACCTGAAATAATTAATACATCAAAGCATCCACAAATGGCAATACATATATCTTTGCCACGACACAATAAAGAAAGTCAATACTATAATAAAAATAGATATAAAATGATCTTCCTCTTTCTGATGTTGTTATAAATTGCTTCAGTGCAATCATACATTTTTTGCAGCGGTTACTATCTGTAACTTACTCATTGTGGAATAAAAATACCTCAAATTCAGTAAAAATATCGCTTTAGATGCATTCGAACACACAAAAAATCGACAATAAAGGGAGCCTTGCCTTCAACAAAGGGCAGATTAGCTTGTCTCTACAGTTCAGTTTTCTGAGCTTCACTTCCATATATAACTGCGAGACGCTCTCACATTGACCAATTCTTTAAACTGACTGCCAGAATGAATCTGAAGCTTTTTTATGTATATAAATGAAACTTGGAAAGGGAAAAAAACTAAATAGACATACGAAAATTAACTACCAAATTAATAAAAATCACATCACGTGACAACATCCATTGCTCTTCGCCTCACGAGTCTGGTCACCGGCGCTTTGGTGAGAATCCCCCCGCTGCGGATCTGACGTCGCCGACTCACCTTTGATCTCTGAATTCGACGCCTGGAGGGAGCGTTCAGGATCTTGGAAAACGATATGTAGCAGCAACGAACCACCCTCTCCCTCGTTCGCGTCGCTTGGTCTGTTCTCCGCATCCTCGCCGGTGGCTGGGCTGCTGGGCATCACTTGCTCCTCAATAATATCAGTGTCTTTGAGCAGACGGCCCATTTTGAGGAACTTCATCTGGATGCTTTTAATCGTTTCGGCCATCTCGGGGAAGTCGCTTGGCCACTCATTGCGGACCTGCGCCCTTAGATCAGCCACAGTGCCCCGGGAGCCATCAGGTTGGAGAAAGGGGACGTCGAGGTGGAATTGCTTGCCCGAATAGGCCTCGTAGCAGGCACCAGTGAGCACAAAACGCACATTCACAGAAGACATTATTTGAATCGTAGTAGTAGAAAATAAGACAAATCTCTTGTTCCTTTTGATTATTACCCTTTTTTCTACTTTGGGTTTTTAGTTTAATGAAGGTTGTTTGTTCGTCGCTTTAAAGAATTAATATAGAGGTAGCTTAGGAACAAAGAGGCAAAGTAATCATCAAAGAAAGCGAACGTTGGACTGTATAGAATTACCGAGCTAAAGACGGTGTTATAATAAGCATTCTTTCCACTAAATTCCGTAGAATTCAAGTCTATTTTGTGCACAAGCATGAAAGCTTTTGTCGAAACAGACCTAAACGCGCACACACATGAGTCGACAATCAGCCTTGTGAGGCTTCCTAATAGCTCTTTCCTGCAACTTCACTACTATAAACAGATGGAGGCGTAAAGGTGATGGGTGGGCGGTACGCGGGACCCTTAAAGTCCTTTGGTAGCAGGCCGTTATACAACGCCCACGGCTGTCGGCGCCTTTTTGAGTAGACCGTACCGATAAGCTGCTTTCCACCGTGCACCCGGCAGCGTACATGGTTCATAATGTGGGCCTTACGACTGATAAACTTTCCCTCCGACTTATGCCATCCCCACAACGCCCACATATCCCTCGGCATCGGTTTGGCGCCTTCTTCGTTCACGCTCAGATAGCCACTCCCGGCGGTGAATGAACCAAGACGATCCAGCTGATCCATCCACATGCTGAACTCCACGTCTATTCGCATCACAGCAAAGATGGCCTGCTTTTTGACAGCTTCTTTGAAATACGTCTCACAGTCGTCTCGGGATTTTCCGGAAAGCTTTCCAGCCAGCATCATGTTGATGTAGCTTTGAGCGTTAGGCTCCAGGCCAACATCCCGCATCTCTCTAAATAAGTGCTCACAGCGATCGAAATCCTTGGCAAACGCGGCAGCCTGCATGACAGCGTTGTAAATGTAGTGGTCCGCACCGAAGCGCTTTAGATGGTGTCTAAAGATATGGTTAACTCGCTCCATATGAGTTTTAGGATCCTTCTCTACCTTTGGTAGCAAGTGAATAATAACCTTTTCATTATGCAGTCGCCCCCACCAGGGCTCATCACACGCCTTCAGGTACAAACGCCAGGACGCCTCGGGGGTTAGCTCAAAGTTATCTCCCGCGTTATAAAACCCAATCTCCTTTGGCCACTTGGTGTAACCAAGGAGATTGAACTGCCTCTCCTGCCAATTGTTGGGATGTCGTCGAGGATGCACCAAATCAAGGGGCACAAATTGTTCTAACTTTTCCTCCGGTATTTTTGGTCGCCACGCTAGGTTTTTCCCACCTCGACGCGTGTGACCAGGATTGTGCGTCCAACCCTTCTTGAGCACGATATATGTGCGTCGAAACATAAAGGCGTGTAATAAAATCACACCACAAGCGCTAAGAACTCAGTGGAGTAACTCGAGAGAAGACGGAAGAAAAGTCATGACTTGTCTACCAGACATCCTACATGTTGCTCGAGGTACGATTGAAGAAAAAAGAATAATAGCACAATAATAGTAACCGTCCCAAAGCAACACAAGGCTCTAAATTCTTTAAAGCAATATTTTCCCACTTTTTCCCTCATAAAAAAATCTGTTATCAGATATCTTTCCCTATACTGCATTAGGATGAATTAGTAAAGATAGTCAATTAAAAATAAACTTGCAAAAAAAAATCTAAAAATCAAAAGTATTATAGGGGTACATAAAAACTCAGCATTAATAAAGATTAAAATATACAATTAAGGAAAGGTTGTTGTTCAATTAGAAGTTCAAATTCAACCGATCCAGAAAGTGGCCGCTATTCGCTAGGGCTTCAAAGTTTTCAAAGCTTATGTAACCATCGCGATCTGTGTCCACCTCAATGAAAGTTTTATCAACTACCTGCTGCAGCTGCATGGCCGTTAAGTTCGCCCCAACCATAGTGCGTAGCGCTTGGTACAAATCCTTATTGCTGATCTTACCGTCTCCATCAATATCATAAATTTTAAAGGCGAAAAGGAGTTTTTCTTTCTTATCCGCCTGGTACGAAAAGACTGAGAATGCTTTAATAAATTCGGCAAAGTGTAGATTTTTATCACCATTCACATCCATCACCGCGAAAACACGACCTACTAAAGGATTTGATTCCAATACTGGTGTGGAGCTAAATTCTTTCGATGAAATATAGCCTGTGTTGTTTCTATCAAGCTTCGTAAAGCGTTTGTGTAAACGGAGTACTTGGGCCTCGGTTAAGGAAGTGGTCCTTTGCAACTCCAACAGTTCATCTTTAGAAAGAGATACTTTACTCATTCTTTAATATATGACAAAGCTTCAATGGCTTAGAAAAAATAAAACAATCAAGGACAAATAGTAGTGTTGGAAAAGTAGTATATACCTTCATTTTATCTGAGAGACGAGAAAATTTGGTATTTCATTGATTTTCGATCAGTAGTACAATTTCACTTTCGGTATGCAAGACGCATTAGAAGGGATAACCCAAAAACGCACCAACAAACAGAGAAAGTGCATGTATATGCAGCAACTCCGTGTCAAGATGCGCATGTCTACCCCTCAAGAAACGGAAATCGCCAAAAGAGGTACAACCCTCTGCATATAAAGCATGCATCTCACCCACAAATTGAGAATATCTTCAATCCCATTCTATTTTGAGCATTTCCTTTTCACTTCAGAGCTTAACTTTGAACAGACATTACAATAATTAAACTCAATTTACTCATCAGTTAATCAAAAAGAGTTGTATGTGAAATTCTATAGCTTAATCTATGTCAACAGTCTAAGAAATAGCACAACACTAAAAACACCCGCACACAAATGGAAATTTCTAATCTTTCCAAAAAAAAAATTTCATACTCTCCCCCACAACAAGAGTGCCTGAAGAAAAATAAAATAGAGCAAACTCATACAGACCAGCATTAGCGCACGCACAGCCAGTCACTCAAAAACAAAAGCGGTATACGAACTAGACTCCAAAAATTTTAAAAAAAGATAAATAAACTTAAGTTCATATAAAAAAAAGACAAGGAAAGCAATCGTCTACAGCTTCATAAACTTTTCGCATGCTTTCAACACCTTGGGACACATCCTAAAGTCAACCAGACTTTTAGATAAAAGTGCCTCCTTGGCACCTTCACGGAGAATCTCTCCAACCCGACCACTTTGCTCCTTGACTCCCTTCGAAAGCACCCCCTGCAAATCACCGTACTTGCACAGCAGTTGACGTGCGCGGATCTTCCCTATGCCTTTGATTCCAGGAATATTATCCGACACATCTCCCGCAATTGCCTTGAAGTCCCGCACCAGCTTTGGAGGAACCCCTATGCGATTCATCACAGTCTTCTCCGAAATCAAATGCTTCGTGCGGATGTCGTAATGGTAGCTCTTTTTGGATTCATCGATGAGCTGGTAAAGGTCGTAATCGTGTGATATCACCACGGTTGGTAACTTCAGCTTTTGATTGTGCAAAGCGACGGTGGCGATCATGTCGTCAGCCTCAGCATTGACTATCTTCAAGTCTGCATTGTTACCGGGAACCACCAACGCCGTCTCTTTAGGCTCCTCCTGTAAGACTTTTTTGACAACCTTCTCGATCAGTAGCAGCTCAGGCGTCCTCTTCAACGCAGCTCGGTTCCTTTTGTATTCTTCGCAAACACTCCGACGACCACCATCTCCGTTGTCAAAGAATACGATTATCTTATTGTGTTTGGGCGTGCGCGTGTAGTCAATTTGTGGGGAGAGGAGATGCTGTGAAAGATGTGTAGGATCGAAGCTATGCGCAGCCGCGATGATATAGCGCGCGTTCCTGATGGCAAATATTTTAGGATCAATATCAGTTCCTTGCTTTTGTTGGGTGTAACTCCATCGGTGGTACCAACGATGTACTACAGCTGGGCCATCAATGAGCACAGCTACCCTTTCTCGAAGAGGCATGAGTCACTACTGGCAGGAGTCTTGTATTTATATACATGTATATGCAAATTTCGATGTATAACATTCAATCGATGAAAACGAGGGTGGTGAAAAAAAAAGATAGTATCTTGCTGTGCTGTGGAAAACATATATAAATTTATGTTTAGACATTACATTTTAAAATGAGTGTCGATATTGTAACGCATGAATACAAATCAATCATTTAATCACAGATTAACCGGAACAAAAAGGCAAATGAAAGCACAGGAACGCTCGGAGTGTGAAAGCAATGTAGTGCAAAACTAGTCCTTCCGAAGATCCGCAACGCCATCCGATCCTGGCGGGTAAAGTCCTTTACGACTGAACTGCACTAAAGACAGCTTCATTGGATCTGGCAAGTTAGGGCAGTTTGCTAATAGCCGAGCCACCTGCAGCTGAAGCTCGCGCACCCCAGGGCTCACTTCGGAACGTGCACCACACAAAAACGAGGCGTAGATGAAGGGCATTTGATCCTGAAGGATACGGTGCCTTACAGTGGATAGCGATACTTGCCAGGCCGCCTGTAGCACTTCCTCGTCATACGTCGTGTGAAGCTTCCAAGCTTCGTTTAAAAGGCAGGGCGATATAGAGCCCGGATCCATGTACGGTGAACTCAGCAGGGCATTCAGAAGGCGGAGCGCAGAGAGCCTCTGAGATTTCGAAGAAGAGCATAATCGGCTAAGCAGCCGATCAGACGTCAAATAATTCATGAGAAGGTTCCAGCCGGTTGCAGTGGTGCAGGAAGACCCCATGAGATCGAACACCGCATCCAACGTCCCTTCATCAGACGACCTATCAGAGATCTCCACGGCCCGACGAACCCAAGGATCTGCAAGACGCTGAGCATTCCCCTCGTGATGAAAAAGTGCAATGCTGCAGAAGCGACAGACAAAGGCAGTGAACAAATCCTCAACGGGGGAATCGAGGGATTCCTGAATCTTATGAAGAAGTAGATCCGGAAGGGATTCATGCCGGCTGATGATGCCGCACACAACTAGATAATTTACTAGTAAAAGTGGATCCTCGTCGAAGGCGCGAATCGTAGCAGATGTTAAGGAGTCAATAAGATGCGTATTCGTCCGAAGATAGCGATAAACTTGAGAATTTTCTTCTGACTCTGCTGCGTCGCAGTCAAAGAGGCGAAGTACCTTTTCGCTATCATAGATCCGGTCCAGCATTTCACCTATTCGCTTCGTGATGGATTCTGTGAAGGTTAGCTCTACAAGAGCCATAAAAACACGACGAAAAAGTGTGTTTAGTCCTAAATCATCATCAGCAATCGCGTTGAGCACAAAATTTGGAACTAGCAATTCCTCGTCCAAGTTAATGAACTCCTCACCGGACGTTTTATCGGATAAAACCTTCTCCAACGACTCCCCAATTATCGTCAACACGTCGGGGTTCCCCACCGATTGCGCCTCGGATAGCAAGCCCCGTAGGACCGCCGCCTGCGCAGGATCCCGCCACGCGGGGAGCAGGTTCTCTGGAGAGAGGGCCTGCCGTAGCATCGAGGCCGTTTCCAGGCGCTGGGTAAGTTTCTCGGACGACAAAAGCACCGCCAGTGAGCTCAAATCCTTTTCGTTCATCTGTAACTGCCGTTCAACAGGTTTCTTCGTTATTCAAAAGTGATGCAATGTGCTACTTTACTAACGCTATACAGAAATGAGAGAAAGAGCCTCGGTGAAATAAACGGCATAAACATTCTTTCTTTTTGGGTAAGATAATATTTACCCTTGGACTTGAGAAAGCAAATGGAAAATCACCGATAAATGCAACACCACATAACAGTTTTCATTCAATGGGTTAAGTAAAATCCTCAAGATTTCCTCCCCTTCACCTCCACATTTAGATGGTTTTGCAACAATTTCGACAACTATGCTCATGTACGATGCCGCGAAGACGCTGGCAGTGTTTGCTACAATACCACTCATGGCCACAGCGAGGGCAATTAAAGCAGTTCGCACTGATCTTATAGCAATAGTCGCACATATGCTGAGCCTTCAAGCCAGATTCAAAGGACTCCAGAGTAGCTGTACCTAGGGGCGGAATGAAACCATCAGAAGCATCCTCATCGCTATGTCCCAGACAGATGGTGGGGCCCTTGGGTTGCTCTAAAGACACAACACGCTGCTCCAATATGCTAACCCGCTCCCTCAGATGATGATGCTCTCTAGATAAATGATCAACCGCTGATTCCAACGAAACAAAGTCATGATCTAGAACTCTGTTTGCTCCGTTCATCCTTTTGTCATGGAAAATTCAGTTACCTTTCATATCATTCTTTATTATAATTCCACGCCTCATTAAGCCCACAAGCGGAGTGAAATGAAATAGGCAGCTCACAGAAGAGATCGACTGCATTTCAGCATTAGGTTATAAAAAGTGAACGAACATTTTAGAATAATAAGTCCTATTCATTCAATTACACATCTCATTATAAAAATCTCTTGCTCAATATAAGCTGAGAATTCAACGATAAAAGCTAGAAATTAGCGCAGATTCTTTACATTCATGCATATTTAGGTACAAACGGTTGAAGATGGTGTGATATATATAGAAATAACTTTGACATCAGGAACTTAACAGTGTAGTAATTTACTTGATCATTTCGACCACAACATTTGAGGTTACAGCAGCAGCCAAGCGGTGTGAATTTCACGTTTAGTTGGGACACCAAACCCTTTCAACACCATTACAATCGTGAATCATATAATTTTGTGTAAAATGGAGGTGATAAACCTTCCATTTCTGAGTCAATGGCGGATGGATAATTAACTTTATCCAGCACTTTCAGCAGAGCTTACTTGCCAAATGAGGAGGAGGTAATGTAAATATGCACAACTTGCGCTACATTAAATATAAAGTTTTTGTGCTCTCTACAGGGGAGATGGCCTTTGGCCTCAAAGGGTAGGCTGTGGATGCATAGCTTGACTAATCTCCAGCTGCGTGTTTCTTTTGCACTTCAAATCATTGACATTGTCAAGAATGTAAATACATAGAATTTACACTAATTATACTCTATTCAAGAAAATGAAATAATAATAATAAGGACCAAGGGAATAGGCATATGGCATAATTTAAAGGGTTCATAAAATCAAGTTTGTCTATCATATCGTACAAAAAGTAAGCAAAAGATACTTCTTCTTTCCTCATGGAAGGAAAGAACCATTATCATCTCATTAAGGTTAGGGTACGCTTACATTTTTATGCGGCTTTCTATTTTTATGAAAAAATCAGAAGAATCAATAGCTACGTGTCACATACGATCTGGGGTAATGATTTGTACCGATGTGATATTGGATTTGCTTCAATTCTCGAGACTTTTTTCAGCTTCTTTGATTCATCTCAACCTTAACCAATGTTATTACCCTAACAATATACATATAATGTATATATGCATATATATACATATTCATATACGAATATTAGCTAAACGATGAACCGGTAGGAATGCATTGCTAATTGTGTATTTGAATAGCTAATAAAAGTTACTATTATTTATTATTATTATGCCTGATACCGTCGCATCTAATGTTTTATTATACTATCATACAAATATACAGCAAGGTCTCCATCATCGAACCTACTAACAAATTAAGAAGTATTGTACACTGGTGTTCCCTTTACTTTGTTACGTTTTCAAATTTATCACTTGTGACCCTTTTGCATTAAGCAGCAGGAAACCCAAAAAAAAATATACGCAAACGAAGCAGTTACTCAAAACTACTCAATAAAAGGGGGAAATAAAGGTCGATAATCCCTCCTATTACTTTTTGGGGGTAAATTAATGAGACAAAATCATAATTAAAATAAGAATTTACACAATATACACGGAAACTCATCTTTTATATATTCATAAAAAACTAAATATATATATCTATATATATTTACCTGTTTGCATGCCCTCTACTTGGTGCAGCCTCATTTCAAATTCATTTAGAAAATAAATTGTCTTACGATTTAGTCCAGGAAGTCAGTCGAAGTTCTGGACGAAGGAAATATTTATTATAGTTGATGTGGCCCAATTTCTCGTTAGTATTGCGTATTCGAGACGTCATAAATTCCGCATCATCGGCGCTATGGTAGATTCCGTTCTTTCGCAAAACAATGTCCATCTTACCCTCTAACTTCTTTGCGTAAGGTGCATTCTTGATCAGATGCATCAAAGGGCGGATGATCGACACCAAAGCTTCCACTTGCGCAGGAGAACTGATAGTAAGAGCAGTCTGAAGAACGTAATTGCCGAAGTCATCCTGAATCAGACGCGTGACCACCTCCGGATTACACATCGTATTAATATACATCTCCTGTATGGGTTGGGACGCACCGCGGAGAACCTTTTCCATGACATTCGAACTAAACTTGTTCGTGCAAAGGTGGGTAAGCTGTGGGAGAAACGCAATCGCAATCGTGTCGTTGATGCTGCTGTCATTTGCTTGCAAGACGTACTGAAGAACGTAGTTTCCAAAGGGGTCCCTGGCAATTTGCAGACAGCAGTTCAAAATATGATCCACAAGATCAGACTTCTGCGATGGAGACGCAAACTCCAGACAGCGTTGAAGAACACAGCAGCCCTGCTTGTTTTTCGCAATGGATGCACAATCAGAGGCAACCGCTTTATAAATAAAATCTTTATCCTCATAATCGAAACGCTGCAACACTTTTTGAATCACATGATTGCCATGTGCGTTTTTGATCAACCGCACCACATCCTTCCTCAAAGCCTCACGTACTATTTCCATCTCCTCCCTGGTTGAAATGGTCTCAATCATCTTTTGAACACTGAAGGTGCCGTGGGGCGTTAGTGCTATTATGGCTATCTTCGGAGCAGCTTTGAGAGCAACGCTGTATCGGATGTCATCAGGCATGATGTCGAAAAGTTTTTGGACCAGAAAATTGGCATATTGATCGGCCATAAGCTCTGCAACATGGGGAATGATCTCGTGCATAATCATCTGGACGATCTCAGCGTCAGAATTAGTGTCCAACCAGCGCTGTAAAAAACGACATCCATGCTGATCCTTTGCAGTTTCATACACCTTTCCTCGAAAGCCATCTACGGTGATAGGGCTAATAGAGCCTCCTACTGGTTGTTGACACTTCATCCCCATTGATGGGTTCACCCTGTCTCCGTATTGTAGAGATATAGCATCATGTGGTGGTGCATCACTATTAAGAGACAAAGCGTGCGCTTTGCAAATTTCCATTTGATTAAGTTGCTCCAGAAGAGACGGCACACCGCATCTGCTTAGGGACGAATTTGTCGTAAAAGTGTCCCGATCGGTGCCCTTTGAGTTATACTCCAAGAGGTGACTGGAATTCGACGAATGACGTGGAAACTTGAGCTGTGAGGGCAGGGGAGGGTTCACAAACTTGGTACTTGACATAGGAGAGCTTGTGGGAGTGTGAAAATATGACCACGTACTGTTGCTCTCTTTTTTTTCTCCGGATGGACTCCCAGATTCGCTGTGGGAGGAAAAAACCTGCAAGCATTTTGTGTACTTACCTGTGGGTATCCTGCATTGGTCCTCCTTGTCAGGAGTTTGCTGAACGATTTCCTGTAAATTAGGCTCAGCCGTCTTATATTCGTCCTCATGAACTGTCCACGACATTAAGATTTTTAACTTAAGGTAATTAAATAATCACTAACTCACTAAAAAATGTTGAAGGAATCTTTAAATTTGAGGAAAAAGTTTATAGTAATTGTTCTGATGGTAAAAAAAGGTATGTCGACATAATGATACAATGCAAAGTTCAGTTAATCCATAGAAAGAGAATGTCTCGCGACTTTAAGGGCACGAAAATGTAATAAAGCAGTACAAAAGGGAAAAATAATGGCGTTACTTTCTCTGCTTGACGTGCTTCGCTATAATCTTGGATGAATTTGTAGTAGTAGATGATGATATTGCATTCAGCCTGTTAGAAATCTGAGCGTGATGAAACCATTCTTGCAGGCCTGATTGTGAGGATTTCAGATGAGCCTCTAAAAGGTAACCCTTTATCTTTTTATCAAGATTTCCACAGCTGCATTCCCTCTTGAAATACAGAAAATACGCAAAAATGCATAGGGCTGTTCCTGCTGTAACAAAATAACAAACCGGCTCCATCACGTCCCAATCATATACTACAAACGTGAGGTAAGCTAGGAATGCCATTTGGATGCCACTAAAAAGAGCCATTAATGCCCAAAAATTCTTTTGATGTATAAGCATGTTGTGCAGTTTTTCTGACACTGCATGCTCTCTCTGATAAGCTAAGGCAGTGGATCTGTCTCTTGGTATTGCTATGAAGGGTGCATCTTGAGAAAGCAGTGGTAATCCAGCTTTCAGATGCACTGCATTGATAATCTCCTCGGGCTCAAGATGCAATAAATCCTTCCCAATTCTAACAGCCTGACCGTTTTTCAAAAGAATTTGTAAGTACGTATTTGCTTCACTGCATGTCATCCGAAATTCTTGCGGAATACGCGAGCCATGCGTACAAAACGATAAAAAGGCATCAATTGTAATAACTTTCGTCCCTTGTATTGAAAGAAGACTTTGAACGTGCAACTTTTTCTTTAGTAAATGCAAAGCGATCGGCATGTCTTATTAATTAGTTCAACAAAATGTTCTTGAGAACTTACGCGAAAAAATTGGGCAGTCCCTTTTACAGCAGTCGATAATTCTCTGAAATAGAAAAACCTTGAAAGTGTCTAAAAATAAGCATAGTCTTCTTCAGAAGAGATTATTTTCGGGGCAAACTAAGTACACAAATTATCTAAATGATGGCAACACAAAGAAAAGGAAAAAATCATATTTAATCTTATTTTAGGAAATGAAATTCATATTGTGATTTATACTAACAATAAATAGATATGCCAAAACGTTTCTCCCGCATGGAGTCCTTAATTAAAGTAGAACCCTTCTTGTTGTACCATTAAAGTATATCAAATTTGATCTAAATAATCACGTAGCTGGTCCGCCGTTAAAATTTCAAAACGATTTTCAATAACCCTTCCAACTTGAGTATTCTCTGCCGTCATCTTCCCGGCAAACCCTTCCTTAAGCGTTAAAAGTGCAGTGTGAATAGTATCCTCCAATTCCATCTCACTTGTGTATCGTTTTTTGAGAAATGATTTTGCATCTGAGCTTCCCTCCCCTATAGCGGTAGCTTTCCAGGCACAGAATGTTCCACTGGGGTCAATTTGATAGAGGTGATGCCCGTTAGCGTCCACACCTGCTACCAGGAGAGAGCAACCAAACGGACGAACACCCCCAGACTGCGTGAACTCTTGATATAAATAACTGATTTGCCGCACGAGCTGGCTTACAGGAATTGGTTCATGGTATGTAAGCTTATATTTTTGGCAAGATTTACGTGCGGAATCAATGAGGACACGACTATCCGGCCCCATGCCACTGTAAGTGCATCCGACATGATCATCTAAAGCAAACATTTTTTGAATCGAAGAAGAATCAACAAGTGGTGTTGTAGTTTTCTTCTTTGCAGCGATAACAATACCATCCGTTGCTTTAATTCCTAGCGTTGTCACACCCTTACTGGCAGCAGTGGTGGCATATTCAATTTGAACCAGCTTACCGGAAGGACTGAAGGTTGTAAGGCCGTAGTATGCGTCAGACATCCTGGTTTAAAACGTCTGTAGCGAGATAAATAAATTAGAATTAATTCCTCTTTGAAAAATAATAGCTAAAGAACCCCCTTAGTAAAAAAAAAAGAATGTAAAGGAGCAAATTAAAAAGACATTGGAATAATAAAAAAACGTATACTAAAATATCAACACAAATATATACGATATTTCCATTAATTCAAGTAAATAGCTCGAACACTTGGAATAGACAAAATGCAAAAATAAACAATGATGAGTATGTGATTTATCATTCGGTATATAAGAACCTTTGAGCATTGATAACCGTTATTAACATTTTGTATTTCATCACATTAAGTTTTTTTTTTAAGGCAACGCATAAAACGTAAAAAAGAAGTCAGAAAATAAAGATCTTACTTTAGTTAAGAGCTTTCCTTCTAAACATCAATGTAGTTTTTCGGGAAGCAAACCCCCGTTCATTCCCATGACTGCCATCTGAAATGAAGAAAAAGTTTTACTCTAGGATCAAATCAGAACACACAAACAAGAATCTTCCTTTCTTCCACTTAGTAGGAAAAAATCGTTGCATCGGAAGATTCATGATTACGCCTTAGCAGGTAATAATAGCAAGTTAGATCGGGCTTGGTTTTCTGGTTCTCAAGCTGTATTGACCAGACAAAATGATTGACAAAGCCTCAGAACAGTGTTGATGGTGAACTCCCAAATGCAATCAACAACTCATTGTAATTGCCATTACACAATACTGCATCTCCAATGCACCAGTATCGCAATTGCATTACTATCGTCTATAGGCAAAATATTGGTAATGTGTAAACCTTTTTTATTCGAAGTCATTATAAAAGAATGTACCTTGATTGAGTTTCAGATTCTCTAAGTGCATAGTCTAAAACAAATAAGTTTGTTTTCTCTTCTGAAAGGTGGGAGAAAAACAAATGTAGTAGAATTAAAAAATTAATAGTATGCAAACGCAGTTTTCGAACCACTAAAGGATGATAAATAGGTAATACACCTCTTATTATTTATTTAGTTGAATTACAATAAAGTAAACAAAATTGTGGCGTCCATTAGCACTCCAGCTTGCGAAGCTTAGAATTGCCGTTGATGAGGCGGATATCAAGCTCGTGGGCCTTGCGCACGATGGCCTTGCGGCTACGAGCACCAACAGTGTGCGCGATCACACCGGCGTACTTGCGGTTCTGCATGACGAGCATATACAGATCCTGCACGTTACGGATCGGGAAGTTCTTGAAGCCCGATGGGGTGATGTACTTGGTCTTGCGATCGCTTCCATAACCCTTGTTGGGCATCGCCTTCTGGCCCTTGTAGCGGCGACGAACAGGGGAGTCCTCACCGCGAGGCTTACGCCAGCTCGCGCTCAGTTGCGGGAAAAGCTCATAGCGATGGCGCGTGAACTTCTTGGTGCGCTTCTTGATGATCGCCTTGGGGATGATGGGTTTGACCATTTGAGCCACCTAGGAAGAAAATAAAATTTGCAATATAAATATTTATAATTATTTATATGAAGGCAGGACAAGTTTAGAGAGGAGTAAAATAAAATTAATTTTTAATCAAGTGTTTCAGCGATAAAATTCAAAAATAAGAGTAAATATCAGAAATATAAAATAATTAATTGTTAGTAACTAAGCATACTACGACCCAAATCTTCTACGAGGTTTTCGTTTCTGTGGAAACGAAAGAATCCGGGTTAAAACTGAGTCGGAAAAAAGTCGACTTGAAACCGCAAAAAGAGCCGATCTATCAATATAACTAATAATTACAACGTTTCCTTTTCGAATACTTAAAGCAAATGGAGCGTATCCCCTAGCCTCCTTCGTAAAATTACGTTCGTCCTCCCCGAATTCGTGTGCTTCAACAACCCACCCACTTCTTTCAAGTGCTGAGCTCAACGTCACGTAATACTGGTTGCACATGCGGGGAAACCTAGTGCCGCATTTTGAGCAAATAGAACCTTCTATTTCTTTTTTTGCCTCTAAACTCTGGGAGCAAAAACGACAAGACATAACACCTATTCAATATCCTCACCTCGTCTAATTGTAACAGTCTTGCGTTGCTTTGAAATTGAGTGAAGAAATTCTCGGAATGGAGGGCGAAAATATATTAACCCGAGTAGGGCCCAGGAAAGCTCAAGAAAAGACACACCACCAATAATATCAATAAGTGGAAAGAAGGTACAAAGCAACACCTATGCCGTGACAGTAAGAAAAAAAGGTTTCACAGTTCCTCGCACAAGCGTACCGGGAACGCCCAATTAAACAAAAGGACAAACCACAGACCGAACAACGCACCACAATACTCAAGATGACGGCACTGCTAGCACCGACTCCCGCCGCCACTCCCACATAGGATGAAAAGATTCTGTCCTTTCTCCTCCCCCGCACGCAAGTACAGCGCCGTGGGCGCCGGTTTATTATTACTGTTACTATTGTAAAATAAACTTGGAGCCAAATAATATAACGTTGGTGGGCGCCTTTTTTTCTCGATTTGTTGAGGTAAAATAGTTGAAGCCCGCCACCAGAGTTATATTTGGTTTTGTTTTATAAAAGAAAGACCGGCGTATGTGTGGTTTTCAAGGGCCTTTACCCTGAGAAAAGTGTTCGCTTTCGCGCGCTCACTTTTGCCCGATGGGGGTGAAATCAATGGGCTCAAAACAGGCGATGGATTACTGTTCTTTGTTCCGCTCTGCTTATTGATATAATTACATCGTCTGATTTTCATATATCACTTGAGGTATTAAACCTCAAATATTATTGGGTAGCATCCGGTAGCAACCTAAATATTCGTTTTACATATTTATGGTGGTAAAAGCTATTCTGCTCAAAATTCTGGTAGTTTATTGGTGGGGCTTTGAATAAATGAACTCTTTCTTGGAATGTAAGTTATTAATAACCCTCTGTTGAAGCGGTATCACATAATGTTTTTTTAGAACAACGAAATGAAAATAAAGATCACTGTTTCACTATTGATTAGGTGTGTTTTTAAATATGGGGTTCCCCTTTTTTTCCAATTCACTTCTTCAACAAAGGAATTCAAAAAAACAAAGAATGAAAAAGGAGAAAGACAAAAATGGAGATGGTTTTGAACTGAAGCGGAAGCATGGATTCAAGGAGTCCCGGACTGAGCGCCAAGAGCGATTGAAACAAGAAAAGCAACTTAAATGGGTTACTAAACTGCAAAAGGAGGATTTAGGCAAACTGGAAAGGGAACTGGACTCTTTAATGCGAGCTGAATTTCTCTCTCCACAGCAGAAAGAAAGAAAAAGATTGGTCGAAAAAATGGTAAATACCTTAAGGAAGATTAACGATGATGAAAAAGTGCCGGTAACAGAACCTGTATTAAGTTCATCGCCGAGTTCCGTGGTTAACGAGGACTTCATGATGATAGTTGAGGACAAGGAGAATGAACCATCTGACGCTCTTATCTTTGTTCCAAGAAGCTTCAAAAGCAAACGCAGAAATGTTGAGGAGATCCCTGAGTCAACAAAGGCAAAGAAAGCCGAAAAATTGTTACTGGAGGCTGCTGCTGAAGATGATGATGATCAGGAGGCGTTTTTCGCCTCGCTTATTTAACTGGAATTAATTCTGACGATATATTTAGCCTCTTAATGTTTATTTATTTTTAATTTTTAGTTTCTTTCTGTACAATTTCCATCACTACCATTTCTTCCTTCATCTATAATAGCAATGGTTAAACTATAAATATGCATAGAGCCATTTTTTTAGAAGTATCGAGAAATTTACTTCCTCAAAAAGTTTTAGACTCCTATTGCGCAAATCGCCAATGGCTCCAAAAAATACTATCTAATTTTAGATTTAAAAATACTGATACGAATTTGGCATCTCCTATAGTGCTTTTGTATGGATCCGCAGTCTCTGGAACAGCATTCGCACAGGGCGACGCAGACTTTGCTGTTGTTTTTCCAAACTGTACATCAGAAGAACACTTATTAAATAACGGTATCTTTCACGAAGTCAGCTATCGTGATCAAGTGCCAATTCTATCTGATTTACTTGAGCATATCAATGAAAGATGTTCTTTTGAGTTCTCCAAGCCGCATCGAGTTTTCCTCGCACGAGTTCCTATTATCCAATACGTAAGGAAAACGAAAGATGAGAATTTGAAATTTGACTTATCCCTATCACTTCACGGGGTTGAAAATTCGCTTCTCATTCGAAGGTACATGGAAAGCGCACCACAGCTTCGTTTAGGTGCACTGTGTGTGAAACACTGGGGAAAGAAGATGAAGTTAGTAGACTCGAGAAATGGATGGATATCTGCATATTCACTTACTATAATGTATATTTTTTTCATGATTCGAACGGGCCGCATAAGTGATCCTATTGATGAGTCAGAAGTATCCAAAAAAGTTCGAACGTTTGTCACTAATTCTCTCCATTCCGAAATGTCACTAGATAATATTCCCGAGTTTACAACGATGATACCTTTACAGGAATGCGATGTTGAGGCAGTTGTGCATGATGTTTTTGAATTTTTCCATTTTTATGGAGGCGCTTCCTTTTTCGACTTTGACGTGGATGTTATAGATATTCGAAAGAATGGCACTGTCAAAAAGAAAGATGAATGGCTGAGTATGCTAGACAAATTGGATGCAAAAGAACGTTGGCACTTGCTTGGCTATGAAAACATCATGATGCGGGATCCGTATGAGAATCATAACTTGGCTCGTAGTGTGGATTTTTTCAGGGGAGAAGCTATTCGTGAAGCATTTAGGATATCATCCTCTAAAAAGAGTCCTCTGAGTTTTCTGTACGATATGCTGCATTGAAACGATGTCTTCCAATTTTATAGGTTATTCACATAATTCAAATGTTAAGGCATACGTTTTGTTCAAAAAACTTAATAGATTAACTATTTAGTGAAATTAAGGGCAACGTGGGAATATTTTCTACTTTGTTTTGTTTTATACTGAAGGATTTCATAATATTAACGAGCTTTCTAAAATACTAAGCTCCTGACATATTTTAAGCAAAATAATCTAGATTTATATATTCATACTAAGTTCTTCTAGAATACCATTGGGTATACCTTACAGAATGTCCATACGACTAATCGCAACATCTTGTGTCGATTGGTCATTAAACGCAGAGGCAACATCTGAGGATACCTTTTGGTGGAACAATACTTTCAGCATTACTATCTTTGAAAGGGCTCTTCAGGTTACGAAGGAGAGATATGTAGATCAGATCACCGATACAGACGTATGGGAAAAGTATATTGAATTCCAGATTAAAAATGTATTCAAAATGTGTTCAGTGTGCAGTCGCCCAGAGGGCAATACAGATATGAGAATATGTTGCAACTGTGGAGGAACAATCCATATGGAATGCTCTCTGGTTGCTACTCCAGATCAGATTATAAGTAAACCCGCTAACACGAGGTTTAAAGATTTAATGTGTCTGTGTGCTCGGTGTCATGGAAATACAACAGGCCAAGGTCTTTCACCTCAACTGAAGGAGGCTGATAATCTCAGGAGGGTTGCAATTCGCGTTTTGTCCTTGAAAGAAGAGCTTCCACTCACAATCTACGAAGAAGTATCACGCATAGCACAGAAAGCCAATGAACTGAGCAATCCTTCGCAGCTCATGACTCGATTGAAATGCCTTGTTCGAGACCTTTATCAGAGCCAAAGTTCTTTATCATTTCTAGCGAAAGAACGTATTAGCTCTAAATCTAGCGGGATTGGTGTGGTTGCAACACAGAATATTCCTGAATTTTCCATTATTGGAGTCTATCCAGGCTACATTGACATGCTAAGTGGTGAGCAGGCAAAGTATGGACGTCCTTTTCCCAAGTATGCTTTAATGGAGCTTAATTGTGCAGATTTTTACAATAACGTCTTTGAAGAATTTCAAGATACCTTTACTCCCTTTATTAACGAACCTAACGAAAATGAAACCAGTAACTGCGCTTGGATTCAGGAGAGCAATCAAATAAATGGTCGATTAAGCATTATTTCTGTAAAGGAAATTAAAAAGGGAGAAGAGCTTTTGATAGGATACGGGCCAATATATGCCCGGAACTATCCGTACCGTTACGACGCATATGCATTTCATCCTGTAGAGGGATACGATAATCCATGTTGCTATGCACTATGGCATTGGCCAACGCTGGATAAAGATAATGCAGAATTTGTAGGTTACGTTGGTTACCTGCAACATATGAACAAGTATATGAACTGGGAAAGCATACTGAAGTCCTGATGCGATGTTGACCCTATTTTTTACCTGTTTAATATATACATATACAAATATATATATATATATATATATATATATATATATTACT